CTTAAGATGAGGACCTATGTCTCTCCGTGAACTATATCACCGCAGCCTGTTGCTTCACCTCTTGCGCACTAATTCTGCGCGCTTGAGTGTCGAAAATGGTTCGCTTCACACCGCTGGCCGATCCAGGCTCACAGATGACAGGCGACCATTCTCGGGGCGGGCGAAAGGGGGGGATAGCAAAGGGGGGGGTGGAGAATCAGCTCACGTAGCTGATTTTACCAGCGCCTCCCGGCGCCGGAGGCGGCTATGTATCGAGGAATGGGCCCCTCGGTGGGGCCGAAACCAGCTGCCTGCAGCAGATCTCGTAACCCCCCCTGTCCCAATCCCCCCCTTGCGCCCGGCCCGACCACTCGCATGAGTCGCCGGGTGCCTGGCCTATACGGCCCCAGACAGGTTCCACGGAGAAGCTGGCCGACAGGTCCGCGTCACATGACTGAAGGGGCCCTGGGACACACAAATAAATACACATAAATAAGAATATTCCCATATTTCCCCAAATGTTCGAAGTTTCTGTCTTCACCCCACTTCCCATATTTTCCCAAAGTTTCCGGGGACTCGAGGATTGATTGTGTCTGCGTGTTTCTTTCCTCCTGAATGACCCCCTGGCGCTGCGCACGTCGCGGCTTGTCAAAGGAAGGCACATGAAGGCAACGGCGGCTCGCCCGTCCGGCCCAGCGCCGCTCAGCTCTGTCCCATGGGCACCCTCCCGGCGTTCCATCCCGACGCGTTCTCCGAGGCGGCTCCAGCAGGGCCGACGAGAAGCGCCCAGAGGAGAGGGCGAACAACGCCGGGGAGGGCCGCCCTTGTTAGGGGGCAAACAAACCTACCTCGCTTTTGACCACCCTCGCTTCCAAGAGATACCAAGCGATGCCAAACTACGGCCTGTCCTGGTCAGGCCGCGTGACGAGGAGGCGCGTGGCATGGTTTGGTTTTGCCTGGAAGCGAAAGCGGGGTAGGTCATTCACGCTCTGACTTGTCTCGCCTGTCCCTCGCCAGGGGCCGCGAGCCAACACACATCCTCTGCGAGATCGGGGTGGCCGTGGCAGAGGCCGCTCGGGCAAGAAGTGGGCGCAGCTCCAGAGGTGCTCGTCGATGCTCCCGCTGCCGCCCGTGCTGCCGGCCTTCCCCCAATCCACCGTGCTGCTGCTTTCCTCGATCACGAGGGACCCTGGCCAAAAACATGCTACGGTCGAGGCGTTGACCTAAGGAACCCTAAATCAGGAACGAAGCCCCTGTTCTCCAGACGTTGAACTTCGATTCCCCTTCGAAAGCCTAAGGAAAGCGCGGGGACAACTGTAAAACAATCAAGGAACGCCGAGCCCCTTCCCAACGAACGGAGTTCCTTCTTCAGCGCCCCGACTGTAAGTAGATGTGGTCGGAGGATCAACGATGCATCGGCGACGTCGCCAGCGTATCGGCGACGCCGGCGCGGGGAAAAGCTGGCCCCACATCGGGTCGCAGCGCCGATGCGTCGGCGAGGCGGCGCGATCTCCCGACCCCATCTGGGAGGCCTAGCGCCCACAACCCCCGACGTCGTGACTCTGTTCACGACGACGACCCCCAGAGGTCTAGACCCATTCCCCGGGACCACTCTTTCATCCCGAGTCGTCTTTGGACGGCCCCGAGGCCAGGTCGGGGCCCCCAGAAGCCGAACCTGGCAACGAAAACCCCCCGTCGTGTTTGTGTTCACGGCGCGAGGGGGGCCCCGCGGCTGTACCCCTCCCTGGGGCCTACCAGAGGGAGGCAGGCCCCGACCCTACCTTTGGTGTCCGTTCCATGGGAGCCTGCGTGGCCCCCGGCGCTGTCCAATACGGGTCTGATTTGGACCAGATTTGGATAACAACTGGACCGGATTTGGACCAGATTTGGACTGGATTCGCGGGGGGGACTAGGAGAACGAGGAGGGGGGGGGGGGCAACAGGAGGGGAGAGGAGGCGCAGGAGGATGGGCCAAATGTCACCCCCACGCGGTCCACATGCAGGAGAAGCTGATTCCAGCGTCGCCGCCCGAGGCTCCCATGAGCAGACATCGAACCCATCTACTCTGGGACCCCATCGAGAGCTTTTCCCCACCTGGAGTTGAGCAGGGACCGACCGTCCTGGCATTCCTATAGTCATACCACGAAATGCTCTTAGAACCCGAACATGCTCTAATAACAAAATCAATGTTCTTAGAACATAAACCCGATGTGTTAAAACAAGACAGACTCCGCCAGAAAGGTTCTGAGAACATGTCGTGGGAACCACAAAAGGTTCTGAGACCATTGTTTGGTGGGGCTATAGGCGAGCCGGGACGCTTCGCCACTGCTTGATGGAGGCAGCCAGAGTGAGACAGGCCGCGGAGCCACGGCAGTCCTCCGAGTACGTGTGCCCGGAGGAGCTGCCGCCGCCCGGGGCGCCGCCCGGGAGCGGCGCCTGCGCTCGAGCGCGGAGCGCCCGGCCGGGGGGGGGGCGAGGACTCGGAGGCCTGGAAATGGGCACCCACACCAAGACAAGGGGGCTGCCTCCGCAGGGGGGAGATGATCCTAGATTTCTGTGTTGGTGGTAATAGTTCGGCCACCTTGGAAGCCAGGATATTACCACTATCACCGAGATCGGGATCCTTCTTCCCTCGGTGGAGGCACACCGCCGATATTGGTGTTGATGTCAACCTTCAGGCCTGCGACAGGGGGGGGGGGGGCGAGGACGGGGCTGGCCAAGAGTCCAGGCCGCCAACGCCTTGGAAAAATTCAAGGCGGAGCCTCTTCTCTCGATTCTCGAAAATACCCAGAGATCCAAGGTATTGAAAAAAACAAGACGGACGTTTTTCTCGACTTTCGGCCTCGAGCGGCCCTCGCCGGGCCCTGGGACCGTCCAAAAACGCCTCGGGATGGGAAGCCAGTCCCGGGGAAGGGGTCGAGACTTCTGGGGACCCCGCAGTGAAAAAATCAAGGCATCGGATCTCTGGGACCCCAGACCCCCTCGAGCCATGCAGAAACGCAGCGGAGGGCTCTTCGCTGCTCTCGGCCGTAAGTAAAGCTGGCCTTCCCTCGTGCTCCCCCACTTTTGGGGGGGCCTCCTGGGAGGCCCTCGTCGTCCCGCGGCTGGAGTCGCCTCGAAGTCGCGGTCAGGACGCGCCCGTGGGGAGAGGTCCGGGGAGCAGCAGAAATCGGACGTCCATTCCCTGTGTTTTTTTTGGTTTCGTGCGTGGTTTTTTTCGCCAGATAATCAAGGATGCTCCTCGATGGTCCTCGCCGAAGGAAAAGTGCACACGTCCGAGCGATGCCAAGGACAAATCGGTATAGTCCCCAGACTGACTGCCTACCAGACCACCCCAAGCCAACCCGAAGACCAGAATGTGACCCCAATTTTGGGTTGGGGGGGGCAGGGTTTCCATGTGTTTTTTCAATGTTCCCCGACCCCCCCCAACTGGAAATGGAGGGCAAATTGAAGCCTTCGGGTTGGGTTGGGGTGGTTTCAGACGAGGTCGCGCCGTGAGAAAATCCGGACGGGAGGCTTTTCGCCGCGTGCTCGGCCGCTGGGGGGCCCTCGCCGGGCTCCGGGGCCGTCAGACAACGGCCCACGCATGCGGGAGGCTTTTCTCGCCGTGCCCGGGCTCCGGGGGGTCCCTCGCCGGAGCCGGGAAGCGTCCAGGAAGCGGCCCAGGAAAGGTCCAGTCCTGGGGAGAGGGTCGAGACTTTGGGGGGGGGGGGGGGCGCGAGTTTTGAAAAGGCAAAACGGGTCCTCGGGACAGGGGTCGCCAGAGGAGGAGGAGGAGGAGGAGGAGGAGGCGGAGGAGGGGGAGGAGGAGGTTGGAGGAGGGAGGAGGAGGAGGAGGAGGAGGAGGAGGAGGAGGAGGAGGAGGAGAAGGAGGAGAAGGAGGAGGAGGAGGAGAAGCTAGGAGGAGGAGGAGGAGGAGGAGGAGGAGGAGGAGGAGGAGGAGGGGGAGGAGGCGGAGGAGGAGGGTCGAGACTCTCTGGGGGGGCCGCGTGCTGGAAGAGCGAGGACGTCGCAGGTCTGGGGACGGCGGCAGGCCGCACACCGGCCCACGGGTCGCACGGCAGGACACACAAATAAATACACACAAATAAACAGATTCCCCATATTTTCCCATATTTTCTGGGTTTTTGTCTTCCCCCCCACTTCCCATATTTTCCCATATTTTCTGCGAATCGACGATTAATTATGTCTGTTTGTTTTTTCCCCTCCTGAGCCTTTGATGACCTAGGTTTAAGTCTGGCCTGTCCCCCTGCATGGGGATTTTGGACGAAAAAGTAAACATGGTCTAGAAGTACTCCAAAATCTTTAAAAAGATAATCACAGAAATAATGCCCCCCCGACCATTTTGTAACTATTTTTGAACTTCCCCCTTGTAGAAGGACAAGCCCGACTTAGGCCTAGGTTTTGTTCAGCAGGGACCGACCGTCCCAGCATTCCCTACCACGGAAATTGTTAGAACCCCACAGTGCTCTAAGAGCAAGAACAAGGTTCCTGGAGCATGAGCCCTATGTGCTGACACACAAGACAGTCTCAGCCAGCAATACTCGGAGAGCATCTCGTGCAGGACACACAATGTTCTCAGAACATTCCTTGGTGGGCCTATAGGCAAGCCAGGACGCTTTGCCACTGCTTGGGTTTTGCGCCTCGCGGCCTAAAACGACTGCTTATTCGCAAGCGCGCGCGGCCGGCCGAGCTGCCTCCCCGGCCGTCTCTCCTCTGCTCTGGCTCCCCTGGCCGACACTGGCCAGAAGGCCTCGGAGATGGGACGCAGAAGGGCGTCGCCGTGCGAGTCTAGGGAGGGCCGTGCGAGTCTAGGAGTCAGCGTTCCAAGGATACGTAAAACTCAGGGGGGTTCTAAATCAACACATGTGGTAAACATCGTTTAGGGTTTATGGCTTAGGGCCAAGTTTCCGCGAACGCAATGCACTGTGACGCGCCTGGCTGGATCAACTGCTTTCAACTCCTGCGCGGCCGTATCATCAAGATGGCTACACTGGAAGCTAGTCCACAAGAAACCTTCCACAAGAAGCCCGCCCCTGAGACACCCGGAAACCCACCCCTTAGACCCATTCCACAGGAACCACCGTCACGCTCTCCACTGGAAAATCATCGAAACCCAGGAATCCCAGGGCACCTTGGAGGCAAGCAGGGTGTTTCTTGGCATGGCGTTTCTACTGCACAGCGTACAGCATGCCAGAAGCAGACCAGTCACCAACCCCTCCTGAAGCGGATGAAGATGAGGGGTGTGAAGCCGCAAGTTCCGTGGCGCGCCCTGGATCGATGACGATCGACGGCAGAGCCTGGCACCTCTTAACTGACGGGCGTCCCGCCCGCGCGCTCCCAGCCCAGGTTCCGGCAGCAGGACCGATCATCGATGCGCGGAGACATGCAACAGGACAAACGGATGGGCAGCCCCGGCGAGGGCAGGGCGGTCAGGATGGCCTGCAGGAGATCAAACGGCCGGCACCCTTTGAGAGAGGCACGGACAGCACTGACGACGGCAAACGACGCCGCCTGGGCGGCGCCCCCTCGCCCGCCGCCGGGGCTCCGACGGCTCGCGCTGCGGCTGCCGCGGCTGCTGCGGCTGCCGCTGCGGCTGCGGCCGCCGCTGCGGCTGCCGCTGCGGCCGCCGCTGTCGCTGCCGCTGCGGCTGCCGCTGCGGCCGCGGCGGCTGGCCGCGCCCGCGGCGGGCGGCCGCCGCGCAGCCGCGGCCGCCACGGGCTCGCGGCGCCCCGCGCTGCCGCTGCGGCTGCTGCCGCTGCGCTGCTGCCGCTGCGGCTGCTGCCTCGGCGGCTGCCGCCGGGGCTGCCGCCGCCCTGGCCGCGGGGGAGCGCCCCGCCGCCCTGGGCTACCGCCGCGGGCCGGGGCGGCGCCCTGCCCAGATCTTCGGATGTTCCGGCCTGCGCTCGCCCGGAACATCAGAAGGAATGTCGAGCATGTCGGGCTCCGTGAGGCGATGCTCGTTCGACACTGCCTCGATGCTTTTCTGGGTGCTCGAGGTTGTTTCTGGGATGTCGTGCTGAAGTGCGACGGGAGCAACATAACCCAGATCATGGGATACACATATGTTTGTTTCGGTCGCGATCGGTACCGACCGATCGGCACTCCAAAGCGGTCGCGACCGATCGCCACCGATCCCACAATCGGTCGCGACCCGTCGCCACCGATCGCGGGCGATGGGTCGCGACCGATTTCGAAGCAACCTGGTCGCGACCGCTACCGAAATTGAAGCAAAATCGGTAGCGGCCTTCTCGTCGGCCGCGACTGGAAACATCCAGTATCCAATGATCAGGGCTTCCCCGGGACCGATTCTTCATCCTGACTGGTTTTTTGACGGTCCGGAGGCCCAATGAGGGCCCCGGGAGGCCGAAAATGGTGGAGAACCTCCCGCCGTGATGTTCTGTTCACGACGCGAGGGGGTCACCTGCGCCGCTACCCCATGATCTGGCTGGGACGAGGAGGAATGAGGTGCAACGAACAGGGGGTCACTGGCATAGGGGGGATGCATCGACCTGGAAGCGGCAATATCTCGTCGACAGATCGACGGTAGGCCCCCCATAGGGAATCCGCACACTCCTGGGCGGGTTCGGGCTATCGGGCCCGCATCGGCGATCATTGGGCGATGGGGGGTCGATGCGTCCCCCCTATGCCTATTCCCCCCCTATCGTTGCTCCTGAAGAAAGTCGGGTGGGGGCAAATCGAGAATCACTGAGATACGGCTGCTCTGGGGGATGCCTCGGGCGCCGCGGCCTTCTCGGAGCGTCCTGGCATGATCCGAGAGCGTTCCAAAACGCTCTGGGCTGGACATATCCGAACCCCGTCCGACGGCGGCCGCAATGCTCCGGATACGTTTGAAGATCACCGTCCCCAGGGTCTGGATTTTCCGTGAGCCTCTCTGGAGGGCAAAAAAGGAGTCTGACGTACAGTGAACAAAAACTACCGTGGGAAACGCGGAGTAAGGGACAAATCCCCTCCTGGCCATCGTTCGGGCGTCCATTTCCTGTGTTTTTTTGTCGGTTTCGTGCGTGGTTTTGTTCGCGAAATGATCAAGGATGCTCCTCGATGGTCCTCGCCGGAGGAAAAACGCACACGTCCGAGCGATGCCAAGCCTCTCGGGCCCCCAGGTCGCCTGGGTGCACGATGGGTGGCGCCGAATGTTTTCGCCAGGGTTTCGAGGACCATCCTGGGGGAAACATTGCGGGGCCGTTCTGGCCTACCTCTGGATGGAAGGCGTCTCAAGAGGTCCCTGTGCCATGAGATTTTTTTTGGGGGGGGGGGTCGCGCCCGCTACGGGGGGGGAGGGGGGGGGGGTCCGGCCCCAAGTTGGGGGTGACGGTAACGCGCGGCGGGGCCCTCGCACGGGCCCTGGTACTTATTACCAGCACAACTGTCGGCACGGTAGGCTTCGTCGTCGTCGTCGTCGTCGCCGCCGCCGC